CTCTATTGAACATTTTAAAGAAGTTTGATTTTGAAATCTTTGCGTGGACGGATTCCAAGGTAGTTCTGTCTTGGCTATCAGCTCATCCACGTAAGTGGAAAACTTTTGTGGCAAACAGAACATCTCAAATCATAGAAGTGATACCTATTAAACATTGGAATCATGTTCCCTCTAAACAGAATCCTGCAGACATTGCTTCTCGTGGTATTGAACCTCAACTCCTACCAAATTGTACTTTGTGGTGGAATGGTCCACCATGGTTGCGTCAGGAAGAGAAAAAATGGCCTGAATATGAATTAAAATCTGAAGATGATACTGAAGTAAAGGCCGAACAAAGATCTGATCCTATTTTTATTTCTCATATACGTGAATCGAATGATTTATTAGCTAATTTGTTCGAGCATTATTCTTCGCGTTGTAAAATTGCTCGTATTCTGGCTTACTGCCAAAGATTTATTACTAATTGCAAGAAGCATCATGTTACTCAGAACATTTCACGTAGTGGCATTAACTCCAGCTGCCTTATGCCGCTAACATTTCTAAAGATTCGAGCAGCAGAAAATTTCATTATTCGTTGGATTCAGAATCATCATTTCAAAGATGATTTACAATGTATTAAAGAAGAGAAACCTTTACCCAAGAAGAACCAACTACGTTCTTTGTATCCATTCGTAGATAAAGATGGTCTCTTACGGGTGGGAGGACGTCTTCGAAATTCATCTTTAGCATTTAACATCAAACATCCTGTCATACTTCCTTCTCGACATAAATTTAGCGAATTACCTGTGAAAGAACTTCATATTACTTACCTTCATGCTGGTCCTTCTTTATTATCACACCTCATCAGACAATCTTACTGGATAATTGGAGGAAAGAAACTGATACGCAGTTGTGTCAACCATTGCTTAATATGTCATCGATTTAAAGCTGCTTCAAATCCGCAATTGATGGGTGACTTACCTGAACATCGGTTGACTTTGGAACGACCTTTTTACGCATCTGGTATGGATTACGATGGTCCTATTATCATGAAATTTAATAAGGGTCGTGGCTCTAAAACAACGAAAGGCTATATAGCTCTGTTTGTTTGCTTGTCGACTAAAGCTGTGCATATAGAAGCAGTCAGTGACCTGACGGCAGACTCGTTTATCGCTGCACTTAGACGTTTCATTTCACGTCGCGGTGCACCACGGCACATTTACAGTGACAACGGTACCAATTTTGTGAGAGCATGCCGAAAACTACAAGAACTAAATCAGATTTGGTCTTCCTTGTATGCAACGGAATCGGTTTCCCGAGAACTAACTAAGTTATCTATTGAATGGCATTTTATACCGCCTGCTTCGCCCCACTTCGGAGGAATATGGGAAGCCGGGATTCGCTCAGCGAAATTTCATCTAAGAAGAGTATTGAAAGAGACTCTTTTAACCTACGAAGAGTTGTCAACGCTACTTACCCAGATCGAGGCTATTTTGAATTCACGTCCAGTTACGTGAACGATACTGATATTAACTGTATTAATGTTTTAACCCCTTCTCATTTCATTACAGGTGATACTTTAACTTCCTTTCCAGAGAACCATCAGACTTTACGCACAGGGAGTTCTAGGTGGGAACTTGTACAGAATCTACGTCTGGGATTCTGGAAGCGATGGAAAAAGGAATACTTGACTTCGCTTCAGCAGAGATTCAAGTGGCAGTACAACAGACCCAATCTAAAAATCGACACCGTGGTTCTTATCATCGAAGATGGATCTCCACCGCTAGCTTGGCCTATTGGACGGATCATCAATGTCCATCTGGGCAAGGACGGCTTAGCTCGCGTAGCCACTGTCAAAACTAAAACTGGTGTTTTCAAGAGAGGAATTAATAAACTTTCACCTTTGCCTGTGTATCAGGACTAAACCTAATAGGGTGGGAGTATGGTCACTGCCACGCCTATCGAATTAATTTCTACCTTTTCGTTGCCCTGCGTTGGCAACACGCTTTTGAGATTTGTCGTTCGTAGGATTCGGTCGCTAAAAGCGTAGCTGGCCTGTAACGGTTGTAATTCTTATTTTATGCTTATCTGTACTCCTGAATTATTACTAAATGTTTACGTGTGAATGTTTTATTATTAAATGTATTCAGTTTGGTTGAAATAGACCGAGAGTGACTGAATTTATTAAGGATATTTAAAGTCGAAACTGCGTCATCCATGTCGGCGCCATTCTAATACGAGGTACGTAAACAATCATATACCCTGATGACAGGATTATTGATCCGTCTTCGATCATTAAAGAACTTGAGAGCAGTGCTGCAATTGAATGACTTAAGCTGCTGTATGCGTAATTCCTCGTGTAACTTTAGATTTCTCATGTACCACGCAGAATCAGTAATTTGCCGCAGTACACAATTCTGGCCAGTTTGTATCTTTTTTTCTGGCAGATTTGTATGAATACGCCCAACCGGGCAGGCATAACAAAGTATGGGACGCAACTTGGATTTATAAATGAGTAGCTTGTTGTCTATAGAAAATACACTATTTCGAGCAATTAAGGGAAAGACTGAGCGTTTACCTACTCGAAACTTTTTAATGATAGAGGTAATATATGTGTACCATGAAAGAGTTTTACTGAGGATCATCCCAAGATAAAGGACTTGCTTGGCCCAGGGGGTAGATACTTCATATAGCTGCAGGTTATTTTTGAACTTCGTTTTCTTCGTGAAGAGTATAGCTTGTGTCTTCTCGACACTGACTTTAATTTTCCACTTGGTCAGCCAAGTCTCAAGTGTATGTATGTAAACTTGTAGGCGTTGTATAGCTGGACTAACAAATGCAAATGAGAGAGGATCGCAGTGTCATCAGCATACATTGCGAGTGTCGTGTTTGGTGTAGTGGGAATGTCTTTCACGTATACACTGAAAAGTGTAATTCCAAGAAGGGACCCCTGGGGGACTCCAGCCTGGATGGGCCTGCGAATGAAGAGTGTTCCTGTTACTTGAAAGACAAAGTATCTACCGGTCATCTAGGACTTAATTATGTTAGTGATGTGTCCTGGGAAACCCAGATTGTGTAACTTGTACATGAGAACATACAGCCACACACGATCGAAAGTTTGGCAATGTCCATGAACAGGTCTTCCGTACCCATCTTTCGTTGTAGTCTTTCACTGATCATTTCAAATTTTAAACACTCTCTTAAGTTGGTTAGTCGTACAGTGCTGGCTTCGAAATATAAACTGGTGAGGTATCAAGATGTTATTTAGCTTAATAATGCTGGTTGACTCTCTTCAGAATAATGGCCTCTGTGATCTTGCTCAAGGATGATAACAGACTAATAAGGCGGTAAGATTCAGGAACATTTGGTGACTTGCGAGGTTTCAAGATTGGTGTGATCTTGGCGAGCTCAGGGAAGTATTCAGCTCAGTCTATTCGCCGTCGCAGAAGGGTCATCTCTCAGTCATTACAATAATGAATAAAGCAATTGAATGAAAATTTGCATCACTATCATGAAAATTGAGTTAAAACTTTGACATTATTATATATAAGACAAAAATGGAGTTACGTCTAATATTATTGCCGACTACGCAAAATATGTAACTGTGTTTTTTCTCTGGACGTTGTGTAAAATATTTTAACCGTCATGTGAAGTCTGCGTAACCGGAAACATTGTTTACAAACAGATTTTTTTTATGATTTGTATGGAATGGAATGAGAGGAGCTGGCGCTGAGATCACGAAAGCTGGAGGCAGTGTCTAAACATAGCTCCGAATTTTTTAAATAAGTGTTTCAGTAAATGTTTTCAACTCTCTAAAAAGTTTAATGCACCTTTCCTATGCAATGTCTCATTCATCAAATTAAGAAGGAAACTTCGCTTCTTCGAAACTTCAAACATCTTGTTCGCACACGAGAAATCCAAAAAGAAACCCTGACACGGAATATTCAGATAAGTAAAATTCTGTTCTCTATACAATATCTTATTCTCTATCACTAAAGTGCCATTAAATTTCTATATTTATTTTTTTCATAAGATTCTAGCATTATACAATAGTTAGTAATAGTAGCAACTCATGTGGTTCTTTTCTTCGTAACTATTCCGTAGAGACGCCACATTCCTTATCAGTAGTCCGTTCTTATCAGCAATTCACACCCTTCGGAGGCCCCCCTCTTCGTGCTTAGGAATTTCTTGAGAAGGAAAAAATGGGGATCTCTTGACCATCGATGAGTATAGATTGTGATTTTTGTAACTAAGATCCCCGACTTTTTTTTTCCAGGTATCAAACTTAGAATTATGAGCAAATATAAATACAGTGTGACGTAATTTGTTAAACTTGTACTATAATAAATTACAATAGTTAAATTAAGAAATTAATTTTATATTAAACTAATATTTAAGAAAAATAAACTGTATAATTTATTTTTGCTGATATGCTCTCACACTGTGTATGGATTTATGATTTTGTCAATTACGGTTTTTCTGAAACATACAAGAATTTTTTGGGAACGGTAATAGTTAATGTTACTTTAGTTAAAATATTATGTACATCTCTGTGATGATATATGTCTTTTCTAGTTAGGTCTCAAGATAAGGGCATACACATTACCATGTAGGAATTCATTTTTTTTTAAACTTAGCTAAAGTTTGCTTTGATACTAATTTTTGCAAATGAACTCCTTTTAACTACACTCATGGACACAATCGTATTTTAGGATATTTTCTACTTCTCTTCCTTTTCTTTCTATAGGCCCTTTTTTCCCCCCTCTATTATTTTGGGCCATTTATTTTAAATTTTATTTTGTACCATCTTTACTTTCTGGCCTTTTGAACTCGTACAAAATGTACAAAGTTCCTTTTTACTCTCCTCAAATACGAAATTGCCCCCCTTTCTATATACCTTTCCTTCGCACCTATGCTTGATTTTTCGCCCATCGGTGCAGAAAGACTTAGCGGATGCAAAACAAGACATCAGTCTACTTTATGTGTCTGTTTGTCTTGTTTACAAACATCACATGCTTGTGAGTAACGTCTGGATAGGTGTGGCTTAGTGATTTCATATTTAAATTGTTCTTTGGCCAGTATTAAGAATTTATTTCGTGCGGTAAACTTTAGCCGAAGCTTGAAAATGTCAGCGATGGTAGGAGGAACTGGAGAAGTTCGCGAACCAGACGAAAATATTCATCAGATTACTAGAGAAGTAATATTTAAATCTGTATAAATATTGATAGCTGTACATTTAAATAGCAGTGTTTATTCTCTTCACGGTTTTATTTAATAATTAATTATTAATAGATTAATTATAAACTTAATCATTGCTAAATGATTTTTATTTGTTTTTGCCAATCATTGCTAAATTATTTTTGTTTGTTTTTGCCGTAGCTTTTCCTCGATGGTATTAAATTATAAATTTTAAATTCTTTTAATGGGTATAGTTGTTATCTAATTTCGAATTAAATGTTTGCTGCAGTTTTACGTTAAATATTCGGTTGTTCATATGCTTGTATAACTCATTAGTTATAGTATATCGATTGAAATATCTTAATGTTGTCTTTAAGTATCCACGATAAAAGGCAAAATTTGATCTTTAATGGGAAGCACTTCCGGAGAGAACCCGGTGAATGTAAACATTGCCAAATTTGGCGATAATAGTTAAAATCTGGTAACCCAGCGGATTCAACCTATTCGCTTGTTGCAACCATTCATTTTGCATCCATTTTGTTTCGTTATCACTGTGGTTCTTCGCATTTGCAGATTTCTATTATTCTTCTTTTATTTATTACTTTTTTTCTTAATTTTTTAACAACGAATAGATAGAAATATTTTCGTAGATCCCGGTTCTCGGTTCGGGATGAAGGAAGAAAATAAAGCGGGAGGGGTGAACGCTAATTTGTAACACGGCTGTTCACGTTGTGTTCTTAATTATTAACAGCTGTACGCACGCAGAACCATGAGGTTCGAAACGCTCAAATAATTCGTTTTCGTACTCCGCAAAAATGTGCGTTTTAAATAATTAAGTAATGCTTTTATTTTTATTATTGTTTATTCTCACCTAAAACTATGATAATAAATCAATTTTTATGGCGTAAAATTGTAACAATATATTGTTAATGCTTTTCTTACAATAACCTTTCAGAGGATGGCAGGTGTGACATAAATAGATTATTAAATTTTAATAATAAATACTATTTATTACTGATTATCTGTGACAGAATAGTTTGATGTATTCCCATGGTCATCAAAATTAGCAAACCACTGTAAGGAATATAGTTCAAATGACTCTTGAAAAGTAATGAAATGTGTAATGTTCACGTTTTATTAACAATGCTACTGAAGAAAATTTGATTACTGTTGAAGGTTATTAGTATTGTGAAATAAATTATGAAAAGGATGGGTATTTGTTTCAATGTAAATTGCTTTAACCTGCATGCAAGTAACATAAAAAAAAAAAAAAAAAAATACGGAAAACTGTTAATCAGAGTTCATACACATTTCTGCACACAGAAATTAAGGACCATTAATGAAAAAAAAATTCAGGACCTATGAGTAAACGCGAACTGAATAAATTCAATTAAAAATATTAGCGATGCCTGCATTTCACATTTGTAATACCATCCTAAAAATAAAATAGATCCATAAGTAGTATGTATTATTACTAAACATGAATTAACATAATTATTAATAAGTTTGAAAATGAAATAAACTTTAAGTAATTGATCAAGTAGCATTAAATATTTTACACTTATAATAGTTGGGCATATTTGAAAGAAGTGACATTTACATTTTACTAACTTTATGTAACTTTTTTTTTGTCTCATAATGTCACATACTTGGTCAGGCTAGCGGTTTAGTAAGTAGCAGGTTGATTTTATGTCAAATGGCATAGGTTAAAATGAGAAGTATCATAATCAGCAAAATTCATAACAAAAGTTAATAATTTAATAATTAATTTCTGTTTAAATTTAATACCAATTTATTTCCGTATATCACGTTTAACCTGTTAGTTTTACATCTACATGCTTATTATCTGTGAATTTTTACTACCATATGCTTAATATATTGTTTAGTCTGCTAACTAGAATTTACATGCACTAAAAATCACGTTTACAAAGTATCACGTTTACGGCTCGCCTCAAGCGTCGATGAAACGCGAGCTTGGCGAGTAAAAATGGAACGGCGCCAACGGGTTCTCTGCGGATGAAAACCCCTGTAAGGAAAAATCGGATAGAAAAGTTTTCGAAAACTTTAAACCTTTTACGTGGAAATTAACGCCACAGATTGAATCTAATGAGTTTTAAAGTAAGTTGATGGACTTATCTATTAAATTGAGCCTGCTCGTTTTTATTATAATTGTACTATTCAGTTCTGCATATTTAATGCTTAAAATACATGTAGTATAAGAGTTTCGTTATTAGTTCTGGCCAGTAACAGTAACCTAGAAAGTCGATATAAGTAGTTTGATTTGATATGGTCACTCTTTTTTTTTTTTTTTTTTTTTTTGTACTCCTAGTAAGTGAACTAGAATCAGTGTAACCTCTATAATTAATGACAATATCAAGGTGTGATTATTATAGTATGACAAAATTATTATCAGTCGATAAAAAATTTTAAACTAACTTTTACTGTGAATTTGTTTGTGCTGAACTATTATTTCTTCACAATTCAGTATGTTATGTTTTATTAAATCGTGCTTTTATAGCAGTTTGAGTAAGGCATGTTTTGGAACAGCTTTATAGCATTAGTCTTTTTACAGTTCTTTATTATCATCTTTAATTCCTTCCCTTGTTTGGGCGAGGAAACTAAATGTGCCTTTATTGTGTGTTGTTGGTTTAGTTTTTGAAACAATGATGTTCAGTTTTATGAGTATTGTAATTTGTTTCATTAAATCTTCAAAGAAGTATTTCTTCATCAGTAAATATCATAGCTGCAAGATTTTATGAAGCCAATTAGATAATTATTTGTAATTTTACTTCTTGTTTAAGGGTATTAAGTAAAATTAAAACACAATGATATTTTAATGAAGCATTTTTTTAATTATATAAAAATTCAGTAATCTTTAGTTTTATAGTTATTTAGATTTGAATTGTGGTGAATGAATCATGAAATGCTATTAACTGTAAGGAAAGCCCATCCCAAAAAATTCCAGTTTCAATTTGCCATTAATTTTATAGAACCTTTTGCAATTTAAGAAAATCTGATGCAGATTCTTTTTCAAGAGCAAAATTTCAATATTTATAAATATTATTGTTCTGTAAAAAAAGAGACGCTTGTGTTCAATTCACAGAATACAAAAAATAATAAGGTACTATTCAGTTTTGAGGGCCGTTAAAAATCGCCAAACTATTGTTGATGCCAGTGCTGCCAAAAATAATTGTAGCAACCCTAATGCAAGAAAGGAAGTATAATAGTAAATAACTATCTAAGATTGATGTTTTAATTTAGATGAAAGGTTAATCTCATATAACACTTTTTTATTATTATAATTTATATAAAAAAGGCTAAACATGACTAAATGGAAGCATAAGAGTAAATAACTATTTCAGATCATTATTATAATTTATATAAAAATTGCTAAACATAGCTGAATGGATTTTCATCTTGTTGGTTGTTCAAACATAATTTTCTATAATGAATGATGCCTTTTCTTTGAAAAAAAATACCCTTTTTACAAGGGTAAAAACAATTGGGTTTTTGTCAGTTTTCTTTTACTTTGTAAGTGAAAATACATTGATGTGTAAAGTTAGGGTGTGCGCAGTGCCACTTTTGTGCAATTCTGGGATTTTTTTTAATATGTTAAATAGGTCAATGTGTACATCGATAACGAGTATGTGCAATTCTTAAAAACGTGTCAAGAAATGGAAGATTCGGCACTTTACCCAAAATTCTATTGCAGACTTTTCCCTCATGGGCAATTCCCAAATTGTTAAACCCATAGGATATCAAAAAAGGATTTAAAATCAAAAAAGGATTCAAAAATTAAACTAGTATTTCAATGGCATCTTAAGAAATATAGAACTATATAAACTTATGCAATCTGAAATCAGCGTGTACGCTAGATTTTTCGTGATGTTAAATGGACACATTTGCTAGATTTGGCGCTTTGCGCATACATTTTTGCTGCAATTTTTTACGGCCCTCAAAACGGAATAGTACCAATAATAGTTCTATAAAAGTAAAAGAAGTTTTAAGGGAAAATAGGGTTAATTGGATAGTCCATAATCTTTGTTTAATCTAATACATTGATTTCCAATCTATGATATGTCCAGGGTTCGTACGGTCCTTGAAAGTCCTTAATTTTGTCAAAAATGATTTTTGGTCCTTAAAAGTCCTTAATTTTGGCCAAAATTAATAAACCGTCCTTAATTTTGCTCATTTGACATTTCTTATCATTTCTAATGATTGCCGTTCTATGTGTGAATTGCGATTTCTCGTGAATATGGAATTAAAATTGCACGGCTCTTAGCCAATCTGTTGGTGGATTTGCATTGCAAACGATAAAAAAAAAAAAAAAAAAAAAAAAAAACAATTAGCTACCCGAACGAAAGTATCGGTGTCTGATTGGCTATTCACCCAATCTTTCGAAACAGGTATTATCCATAAATTTAGGCAGATTGTGACGAAAGCGTGAAGCCGGAAGTTCTTTAAGAGGCGAAAGTGATGATGAAGGTGCTCGAGAAAGAAAAAAAAGGGGGGGGGATTCTGAAAATATTTGCCAAAATTAGAGCAATCCCAGAACAAGATGCCTGGAAAGTGCATTTTCAATAAACTGTGGCTTCATCAAGCTGACTACAAAGACTGGATATTGATGGATGACAATCCTTATAAAGCTAAATGTGGTCTTTGTCTGAAACAAATTGAAATTTCTATAATGGGAGAATCAGCGCTGAAAATTCACATGAAAATTAAGTTTCGTTTTATCATTTCAATTTGTTTTTACACGGTTTTGCTTAGCTTAATTTCTGTGTTTGTTTCAATTAAGCCATAAATTAATTTTTTATCGCCTTCTACGGAGTTTATTCTCTTTTGCACATACTATATGTATGGGATATCGGGATTATGAGTTTATTTCTGCAGAGGGTCTGTTATCAATTTCGCGGGAAATCTGTTGGCTCCATTTCGATTTTAGGTCGCCAAAGGCAAATTCGGTAACGCTAGCCGAGAAAAAGTGAAGTTCGGAAATACGTTTTGAAGCTTCAATAG